TGTTGATCATATCCCCCCTTAGTATTAAACATGGAGATCATATATCCCCCTTAATGTATTTTACATGTTGAGATCATATCCCCCCCTTATGTAATCTCTCTCTCTAGTCCGAGCTCAATATCCCCCCCTTATGTATTATACATGGAATATCATACTCCCCCGTTATGTATTAAACATGGAGATCATTCCGCCCCCTTATGTATTATATATGGGAGATACATAACCCCCTTAAGTTATTGATACATGGAGATCATAGATCCCCCCTTATGGTATTATACATGGTGATCATATCCCCCCCTATATGTCTTATACATGTTGATCATATCCTCCTCCCTTTATGTATATAAACATGGTGAATCCATAGCCCCCCCTTATGTGTTATAATTACAATGTAGATCAAGATCCCCCCGTTATTTATTATACATGGAAATTCATATCCCCCCTTTATTTATTAATACATGGAGAGCATTAGTCCCCCCTTATAGTATTTTAACAAGATGATCAGATCCCCCCTTTAGGTATAATACATGGGAGAATCATAATCCCCCCATTAATGTATTGTACATGGTGAACATAACCCCCCCTTATGTATTAGTACCATGGAGATCATAATCCCCCTTAATATAATTATCCATTGAGATCATATCCCCCCCTTTATGAATTTTTACATGGTGATCATATCCCCCCCTTAATAGTAGTGTACATGGAGGATCATATCACCCCCTTATGTAATATTATACATGATATCATATCCCACTCGCACCCTTATGTAATTACACATGGAGAGATCATATCCCCCCTTATTTATGAATACATGTTTGATCATATCCCCCCCCCTATGTATTATACATGGTGATCATATCCCCCCCTTATGTAATTTATACATGGATATCATATCCCCCCTATTATGTTATTATACATGAGATCAATATATCCCCCCCTTTATGTATTATACATGGAGACTATCCCACCTTATATTAAATCATGAGATCATATCCCCCCTTATGTATTATACAGGGAGAGTCATATCCCCCCCTTATGTATTATACATGGGATCATAATCCCCCTTATGTATTATGTGATTATCCCCCCTTAGTATTATACATATCATATCCCCCCTTAATGTATTATACATGGAGATCATATTACCCCCCTTATGTAATTATACATGGTGAGTTCATAACCCCCTTATGTATTATACAGGTGATCATATCCCCCCCCTTATGTAATTAATACATGGTAGATCATATCCCCCCCATATGTTAATCACACATGTGATCATATCCCCCCTACAGGGTGGACATATTGTATTATACATGGGAGATCATATCCCCCTTATGTATTATACATGGAGATCATATCCCCCGCGCTTAGATGTATTATACATGTTGATCACATCCCCCCCTTATGTATTATACATGTGATCGTACCCCCACCTTAATCTCCGTTTCCCAAGAGAGAATACATTCAGTTTCCTCTAATCTTCCCTCATAGCTGAGCTCCTCCATGTCTCTTATCAGTTTGGTTGCCCTTCTCTGTACTTTCTCCAGTTCCCCAATGTTCTTTTTGTGAATTGGTGCCCAAAACTGAACTGCATATTCCAGATGAGGTCTTACTAATGACTTGTACTGACCATTCTGCATCAATGGGGAGAGAGGTGTATTGATTTAGAGGTTTTGCTATGAGTCAGGTCATCAGGTGAGACAGAGTAGGGGGTCAGAGGCTGCAGAAAACACTACCGCGTGCATCATCGGGGTGACATTAATCCTATAGTTCCTTATTACTTCATTTCTTAGGGTCCATCCACCCCAGCTATGTGTTCTATCACACGGTTGCTGATTGTAAGATCAAGAGCTGACCGCTCAGTCTCTGCTCTCCGCTGCACCTCTGCTGGGATTTCTCGCCTCTCTGTGGTGTAAAAAATACAAGAGTTCTGCTTTACAATCTGAGGCTGTAGTTACTAGTCCTGGAAGAAAGAGAGAATGCTATAGAAATACAGGACCAGACCGTGTTTGTTTCACAGACCAGGCTCCAGCAGAACTCCACCTTTGATTAGAAACAACTTTCTTCATCATCATTTTATTCATCTGCAAACATGCTTATCAATAATGCATGCTCCTTCTTTTGTAGGAATTCCCATTAAGAGTACTATGGATAATGCAACTACTGCACAGTATGCAGGGTCTAATGCATCCCTTAGTGATGAAAGCCAGGTGCTCATTGCGGGATATTGACCCCCAGAATGATTTGACATTCCTCCGGGTGCGATCAAAGAAAAATGAGATTATGATTGCTCCAGGTAAGATCACACAACATACATCTCCAACCATCTTCTAACTCCTGTGAAAGATTGTATTTAATCTCTCCAGATCGCAAAATCTGTATACCTCCTATACCTCCACAGTGCTTTTTTTACACAGTGAGAAAAAAATGCTGCTGCTACGGATTTTTGGCATTTTTTTTTTTTTTATGCCTCTGAAAGCAGCTGTAGGTTATCTAATGTGCATAGGAGGGTGCAGACTCGTTCATTACCAGAGATTTAATGAATAAATGTGAAAGATGACAAAATGGGTCTTTACAAAGGTAAAAGGTACAAAAGCATTAACATCACAAGACACCGTACAGTGCAGGAATTGCATAACCCAACAAACGACTCTGTAAGGCTGGTAAGCTGATGTGTTTTGGGGTCGTACCCCTCGTCTTTAGAGCTTCAGGTACATAAAAGCATGTAAATATGTATATAAGCCTGGGTTCACATCAGTGCGGTGGCAGTAAATCCCATGTGATTCGCACAGAAACTGCACTGCATTCCTGTACAAATCACTTGTGAATTTGTATGCGGTGCGATTAGAGCCATACATTTTGTATGGCTCTAATCGCACCGCACCCACACAAAAAGGTGCAGGACCCTTTTTTGGGTCCCCACTAGAATCGGATTGCATGGGTATTCACACCCATGCAATCCGATTCTGTACATCGCACTGCGTTTTGAGGACTGCTTTTGGAGTGTTGTTAACTTAACATATGCACCAGCAGTGGTTCGCATGAACGGGGAGCGATTGTGATGCAGTGCGGAATTCGCACTGAAAACCGCATCAGTGTGAACCTGGGCTAAATGTGCCTAAACGCCCGCTTATGCACATAATTTTATTCTAGTGGTAAGAAGACAATTAATATTTCAACAATTAGATTGAGTTTGTGCTCATATGCATCTAAATGTAATACACTCATAAACATGTATACACACAAAAACACAGCATTTTTTTCTGCCAACTTTTGGCCACAATTTCGAAGGACTTTTTCATACGTCTGTGTGCATGAACCCTTAAAAGAACACTAAAGTTTTTTTCTGGAACAAAGCGAACAATACAAAGTTATTTGCAAATACATTTGTTTTTAACTTTTTTAAATATTAATAAAATAAATATAAACAAAAAAACAGCAGAAAAATAATAGATAAAAGTATAAGAAGAAAAGACAGGGCCTATTAAAGCTAACTAAGGGTTATTAGTGAGTTAAAGTGGTTGTAAACCTCAGACATGAAATATGAAGAAAGCATATCCTTCTATAGTGTGTACTTGTCTCAATCTAGATCACTTAAGTGTCATTTCTGTCTGCTGCCTAGTTTCTCTGCTATAAGCATGAGTCACTTCTGACAAGTTTTCCTGACACAAAGAGAAAAATGGTGACAGAGGAGGGCACAGCCTGTGATTGACAGCCTCGGCTCTGTTTCTGTGTGAAGGGGGTGTGTCCCTTCCCTCCATTCAGCTCTCAGAGCTCTTCTCATTGAAGCAACCTCAGATCTCCGCTCCCTACTTTTCAGAGCTGAGAGGTCCTGTGTAAATTCTGCAGTTTGAATGGATGTAGGGGGAAGACAGCTGCAGATAGACAGGTATAGCTTATGTAGGAGGATTTGTTTCATCTCTGTGTATCCCCGAAGACTAGTCACTTCATTGGGTATACAGAAGGATTTACAACCACTTTAACCTCTTCACACGCAAATGTGCGACCTCTGGGCCTAGACGCTGAGCGGCCGTACATTTGCGTTCTATTAAAAAAAAATATGCTGAGAGCGCGCTCCCACCACACATGTCTGGTACTCACGGAAAGGTCCCAATCTCCTCTTTCGATCGGGACCTTTCCCGATCATGTGACCGCTGTGACCCTAAACTCCACCCCGCCTCCCGGCTTCTGAAACCCTTAAAGGGCCGGGAGGCGCCAGCGCCAAGGGGTTAAATAGAGACAAAAGTTATTTATGAAACTTGTACATTTTACAAATTTGCTAAATTTACAAATTTTATTTATAAAAAAAAAAAAAAAAGTCAGGTTTCTTTAACTGACATCCTATGCAGATCAAAGCTTGTCTCTTTGGTCAGCGGATGAAAGAAACAATGTTACTTTGTATCTCTCTATCTTCAGTTTGAATAGTGTTCATAAACATTGTGTCTGATGGTTTCTTTTTGTTGTACTGCAACAGCTACAGCTGCCCGTATACTGTATATGCAGCAACCCCGACTGTCATTTTTAGTAGCTGGGGAATGGTAGTAGGGCAGAAGGATAGGGCATAGTGCATGCATCCTGTGTATTAAAAGCCTCGAATTACCCTTTAACATCAATTGTTCTGTTTATTTTCAGATAAAGACTACATGTTAGTGGTCATCCAGCAGCCGTCGGAGTGATCCCTCTATCGATTGTAGCAATCCTCCTTTTTAGTTATGCCTTCGTGTATTTTGGTTTGTGGACCTGCCTAAAACAGCATCTGAATGGTGAACATCAAAGCCCCACAGATCAAGACTACATTAAAGCCTTGTATGCCTACTTCTCACACTTGCTGTCCTGGATACCCATTGCAGAGCGGAATACAGTACATTGACCAGCTGTTCTATAGCTCTCAGCTCTGGTCCTCAGGGTCCCTAACACTGCATGCTTTTCTCTTCCCATCAATTGTGAGATCATGTTGCTTTGTTATGCTGGATACACAGTTTTGTTTTATTTTCGATTTGTCGAATGACCAACAGTTGTGTGATGTTTACGTCACTGTGTATAACCAAAATGGATTTAGGCCTTCTCACTGCTAGTTCATTTTGTACATTTGGCATATGAATTCAGGCACAAAAAAGGTCAAAATGGTTCAATTCACAAAGTTAAGCCCCAACTTTTTTTTTCTAAGTTTTCCTGCTGTCTGTGTTCCATTAGGGAGATTTCCACTTCATATTCTGGAGATGCTACAGGAAATTCCCATCTTAGTTGTCACAGTAAAAGTGTCCCCATTGGAAGATTTCCCCTCACCTCCTGCTGCGATGTCAACTCCAGTTTTTGTTTCCTTTACATTCTGTCTCCATTACAACTGTCATCAGGGCAAATAGGGGTGAATCTTTATAGTGGGGACTCATACAACTATAAAAACCTGAATAACCCTTCCTCACTCTATGCAAAACAAAAACGGCCTTTACATATACTTTATATACCAGAACAAAAGATCTGTATTTAGAAAAGTGACGGCTATTTTCAGCTCAGTCCAGCGAGATTTGAAAATTACAATGGCAATTGCATAATAAAGATCTGTGGTAAATCTTTGTGAATTGAACCTGAACCTCACTCTGGGAGCCCATGGCTTTTTATGTAACACACGTACCTGTGCCCCAGTATAATGAGAGACATGCACTGTTAGAAGACACTGAGGTCTGGAGGGCCAAGTGCCAGTGTTCTGTAGTATGGAACCTAACAAGTCCAATGTTTAAATATCTGTACTGGGGGGTTTATTGTGCTTTATATAGACTGTAACCTTATTAATGTATTAATATAATAAAGAGCTTCTGGCATTTTTGTAGCAGGAATAAGTGCATGGGAAAGTTTTTAGAAACAGATGTCCATGTTGCTATGCATTCCCTTTGTTCATACAAATGGCACATAGAGTTTGTTGGCTCTGCATTAAAAACCTGTTACACTATATCTCTGATTTGTTTGTGAATGATCATATCCAGAGCTAATAGTGCTGCTACAGGAAACTGGCTTAAAGGATAAGTTCACCTTTTGGAACACATTACATTTCCCAAACCTATTTAGAGTGGAACATGTAAAATGTTCCAGCTTCTGCCAACAGTTCCTCCATTCTCCCCCTCCCTGTAACAGTAGGTAGAGGATCCTCTCCCTGCACCCGCCACACAACCGCTGCGTCATTCACTCCTTTACTTTGTGGGAACAGTTTGGGGATGGCCCCTTCCTATTCCAACATGACTGCACACCAGTGCACAAAGCAAGGTCCATAAAGACATGGATGAGTGAGTTTGGGGTGGAGGAACTTGAGTGGCCTGCACAGAGTCCTGACCTCAACCCGATAGAAAACCTTTGATATGAATTCGAGTGGAGACTACGAGCCAGGCCTTCTCGTCCAACATCAGAGCCCGACCTCACAAATGCGCTTCTGGAAGAATGGTCCAACCTTCCCATAGACACCCTCCTAAACCTTGTGGACGGCCTTCCCAGAAGAGTTGAAGCTGTTATAGCTGCAAAGGGCCGGGCCAACTCAATATTGAACCCTACGGACTAAGACTGGGATGTCATTAAAGTTCATGTGTGTGTAAAGGTAGGCGTCCCAATACTTTTGGCAATATATGTGTTTATATATTCACTACATGCTTGCTTTCAGCCAATAATTCTTTGAATGGAACACTTTCACTGGAACATAACCCATAGGTCAAAATACGGGGGTCAATGCTTAGTTATATGTTCCCAGCTCCAAGTGCAGCTTGTCTAATACCTCTATACAAGGGTGATTGACTCCTCTAAGAGCATGCAATTATCTCCAATAGATGGAAATACACCTGTTTTATCTGCTTCTGCATTGTTTTGCACAAGGCAATAATATTTATTGTGCAATGGGAAGCTGGCCACACACTAATAGATTTTAGAGCGAACGTTTGTAGGAACATTCTTACAAAAATTCAGATGAAAAAAACTCAGTAAATTTGTCAACTTGACTAATTTCATCTGAAAGTACTTGAAAATTTAATTTGCTTTTAACATTTGACTTAGGCACAAATGGACTTTTGTTACACAGAATTCTTCTGGTGTATGGCCAGCTTTTGAATGTTATTACAGAGTTACTTCCATATGGCATAAAGAAATGCACATGCTGAATACCAGGGGCACATGCTGTATACCAGGGGTGCTAAACAGCTGATTTGGTAACCGGTTGCAGACCACAATGGAATTAAATCTTTCAGAATTTCGAATGTTTTCATTTTGAATAGCTTAATGAACATTCTCCTGCAGCACCGCTCAATGCTGGTGGGAGGGAGAGCAGGAGAAGGCAGCTTTCAGCAGTTACAAGATGAAAATGGAGAGGATCGGTCCCTGTATATGCCACCCCCACTGTCCAAGTGTAAAACAGAATGTGCCAGGGAATCCGCATGGGTTCCCTGGAGCATGGGTCGGGGTTGCCATTGCGACTCCTGATGCTGCACCAGTGGTTGGGGGGGGGGGGGGAGGGGAGTTTGGTATAAACACATTTAACTGTGGGGTTTTATCACCCCCCCAAACCACAAACGTGAACAAGCCCTTACTGTCCTGACCCCCCTATAAGGCTGCTTTTACACTAATGCACTGCAGTTTACCCACACCACACCTGCGGCGTTCCTGCGGTGTAACTGCATTTCGCTGTAGACTTCCTGAAGGATATAGTGGAGGTCTATGGCCCAATGCAGCTAACTTGCAGGAAAGCCACAGTTGCACTGCACCATGGATCAGTGTGAAAGCATCTTAGTTGTTAACCCTTTAATAGGTGCTAATGTGCCCATTGTAAAAGCACAGTGTATGTATTTCCTCTTCCAGCTTCTGTTGGCATTGCTCTCCATCTCCAGGCTGCTAGAAAGGTCCCAGGCAAACTGCACTTGATATCACTCCGCCTGGGACAAGAGTCGGCGCTACAGAGGAAGCAACAGCTTATGCACTCCTGCAACCTCATGCTTCCTCCGATAGCGACGGTTTGATGCATTCTGAAATGGCGGGTTGGCAAGCCCCAGATTGTGATCAACAGGTTGCCAACTCCGGCCATGCATTTGAGGTCGAGGGCCACATCCAGGGGCTCCAAGGGCCATATATGACCCATGGACCACAGGTTGAGCACCCCTGCTGTATACTATACAGTGAGGAACAGAAGTATTTGAACACCCTGTAATTTTGCAGGTTCTCCCACTTAGAAATCATGGAGGGGTCTGAAATTCACATTGTAGGTGCATTCCCACTCTGAAAGACAGAATTAAAAAAAAAAATTCAGTAAATCACATTGTATGATTTTTAAAGAATGTATTTGTCTTGCACTGCTGAACAGAAGTATTTGAACACCTGAGAAAATCAGTGTTAATATTTGGCACAGAAGCCTTTGTTTGCAATTACAGAGGTCAAACGTTTTCTGTAGTTCTTGACCTGGTTTGCACACACTGCAACAGTGATTTTGGCCCACTCCTCCCCAAAGATCTCTAGATCTGTCAGGTTTCGGGGCTGTTGCTGAGCAACACGGAGTTTCAGCTCCCTCCAAAGATGTTCTATTGGATTTAGGTCTGGAGACTGGCTAGGCCACTCCAGAACCTTGATATGCTTCTTACGGAGCCACTCCTTGGTTATCCTGGCTGTGTGCTTCGGGTCGTTGTCATGTTGGAAGACCCAGCCACGACCCATCTTCAATGCTTTGACTGAGGGAAGGAGGTTGTTGCTCACAATCTCACAATAAATGGCCCCATTCATCCTCTCCTTAATACAGTGCAGTCGTCCTGTTTCCTTTGCAGAAAAGAACCCCAAAAGCATGATGTTACCACCCCCATGCTTCACAGTAGGGATGGTGTTCTTGTGATGCAACTCATCCTTCTTTTTCCTCCAAACACGACGAGTGAAGTTTAGACCAAAAAGTTTCTACTTTGGTCTCATCTGATCACATGACTTTCTCCCATGCCTCTTCTGGATCATCCAGATGGTCATTGGCAAACTTCAGACGGGCCTGGACATGTGATGACTTGAGCAGGGGAACATTCCGCGCAATGCATGATTTGAAACCATGACAGCGTAGTGTTCTACCGACAGTGGCCTTTGAAACTGTGGTCCCAGCTCTCTTCATGTCATTGACCAGCTCCTCCCTTGTAGTTCTGGGCTGATTCCTCACCTTTCTTATCATCAGTGATACCCCACGAGGTGAGATCTTGCATTGAGCCCCAGTCTGAGGGAGACTGAAAGTCGTCTTTAACCTCTTCCATTTTCTAACAATTGGTCCAACAGTTGATCTATTTTCACCAAGCTGCTTGGCAATTGCCCCCGTAGCCCTTTCCAGCCTTGTGGAGGTCCACAATTTTGTCTCTGGTGTCTTTTGACAGCTCTTTGGTAGTAGTTGGCGTCTGACTGACTGTGGGTTGGACAGGTGTCTTTTAAAGTGCTCAGACAGGTGCTACTAAGTTAGATTGAGTGGAGTAGAGGTGGACTTTTTAAAGGCACAGTAACAGGTCTTTGAGAGCCAGAATTCTTGCTGTTTCTTAGGTGTTCAAATACTTATGTTCAGCAGTGCAAGACAAATACATTCTTTACAAATCATACAATGTGATTTCCTGAATTGTTTTTAAATTCTGTCTCTCAGAGTGGGAATGCACTCACAACGTGAATTTCAGAACCCTCCAAAATCGCAGGGTGTTCA